TTGCAGGGTGCGTATACTGAGCTTAGGGTGACGGGAGTACGCTAGTTTGTGTCCTCCAGTTACCCTTAGGAGAACTATGGGGAAAAGCCCTAACCCCATAGTTCTCCTCTAAAGCAGAACTATATCCCCCTAGCCCTTACAGCCAAGTAAGGTGCCATCTTAGCCTCTATTTGGATTGCAGTTTATTCTGACTCCGATTGTTGTGATAGCGATATATCCCTTGTTGAGACCTCTAAGCCTGGCCTGTATAAGCAGATACAATCACTGCGGACAATCCTTGTCAGATAGCTGAACTCACCAATACCGTGTTCGTCCACAAAGGTTGCTTTATTCTGAATGTGAAGACAACAGGATAACAGCAGATGGATGGTTACAGTATTATGCGGTCAAAAAATGATGCCTTTCCTAGCGTACTATGCAGAGTACATGTGTCCTGATTACATGTGGCTGTTAGCTGTTGCAACAGTAGAATCAGCTCACTTTGAGCAATGTCTTTTTCAAAAAGAAGATTTTGGCATATGTGCCAGCCCTGACAGTGAGTATCCTGGGGCTTAGTGTTATAGCAGTGTGTGGTATGGACTAACCTTGCAGTAATGCAGTCAGGCCTTGTCCACTTTGTTGTGAAATGACAGTCCAAGACGAATCCTTGTTCCGATCTGGTTGCAAGGGTTTTACCTTCAAGACGATCTCTGGATCGTTGTCATGATCTAGAAGACTGACGACACCAGCTGTGGTTTCTTCTGGATGATCCAGCAGGAATTCAGGACCTGTTGACCAAGAATAATTTGCAAAGACACTGGCAGACACTGGCCTGGTGGCATGATCTGCAGCATTGATTTCTGATTGAACATAATGGCATTGTTCAGGCTTGGAAGCTAACTTAGCTTTGCCAAACAGAAACCCTATGTGGGTTTGATTAGAAGAGTCTCTCACCTTGAAGTAGGCAACAGCTGCTATGGTCTCAGTAGATGCATCTGAGAAGATGTGAAGCTCTTTTCTCTGACTGGTAGCAAGGGAAGCTGAAGTGTAGCGGCCTGACATTTGAATTTCATGTATGGTGTTTGGAGCCACAAATCCCAGCGGATCGTATAGGCCGTTCACCACTGACAGAACACCACGCTTGGTGAATGGCTTGTCTGCAGAGCTGACTTGAAAGCTGAAGGTGTCCTTTATTAAGTCCCATTGTAGGCCCAGACTTCTCTGTACAGGTGGCATGTCCATTCCCAGATTTAAGTCTTTGAACCCTGTGGCATGATCGCCAGGTTGAAAGGCTTTCATAACAACAGCATTGTTTGAGACAGTCTTATGGTGTCTAAGGTTGGTCTCAGAAAGCATACCTTGAGTCTTTGGTAGCAGGTCTATTGCTTCTTCATGAAGAGGAGAATCATCTTGCACGATGACTGGTGTAGAAGGCTCCGATGAGTTTCCCAAGAGGTTCACTGCTTGTGAAGATACTCAAGTGATGCTTGAGGAATCAGGTGTGTTGTCCTGGGTGCTTGCATCAGTGGATTCCTGCTCGTCTGAGCTGTTGAAGGAAATCTGGTGCGTAATCTTACCAGAACTATTGCAGGGTGGTGTAGTGATGTTGTCTTGGTTTACCTGTACAATGATCTTATTGGAGCACACATCACCTGAGGCATGAGGTTCACAATCTCGTTTGACTCCAATAAGTACCCAACCTAGATCAGTCTTTTGGGCATAAGGATCATCATTCCAGCCATTGTGCTGCTGACGTACCTTGTGTACTCTCAGGATGTCTCTGCCTAAGAGAAGCATAATTTTGGCATCGTTGTCAAGTGGTGGGATGCAGTCAGCTAAATGTTTTAGGTGAGGTTCACGAAGTGCATCCTCTGGTGTAGGAATTTCCTCCCTGTCGTTAGGATTACACTCTGTTCGGTAATATCTGCAGAATCTGCTCCCTGTACATCTGCGGGTTCAGAGGCATGATGAATCTGCTTTGGTTCAGCCATAAAAGAGTGTTCAGAGCCTTGTCTAGACATTTTTCACGGTTTGCAAAAAATGGTACTGTCTCTTTAAGAAGACAAACAGCAGCTTAGACAGGTGGGGTACACAGTTCAATGTAGAGAAATAGTTTTTAACATTCACATGCTTGTGCGACCATGTGCTTTCACAAGATGGCGGCTGGCACTGAGCTTGATTGCAGATTAGGCACACACATATACACAGCAGGCTGTAAGAATGCTATGCATTTTTTGACTATTCTGACATCGATTGTTGTGATAGCGATATATCCCTTGTTGAGACCTCTAAGCCTGGCCTGTATAAGCAGATACAATCACTGCGGACAATCCTTGTCAGATAGCTGAACTCACCAATACCGTGTTCGTCCACAAAGGTTGCTTTATTCTGAAAGTGAAGACAACAGGATAACAGCAAATGGATGGTTACAGTATTATGCAGTCAAAAAATGATGCCTTTCCTAGCGTACTATGCAGAGTACATGTGTCCTGATTACATGTGGCTGTTAGCTGTTGCCATGACACAGGAAATACTGACAACAAGACGAAGGGTGGGGCTTACATACAGAGGAACTGTCATCGATCTCATGGATATCAGGGAAAAATCAGGTGCAATATCACGAAAGGCCACTAGATGGAACATGTGAACTAGATATACAAAACGTCCATAGGAAAAGGTATAGAGAAAACAATCTATATAAAACTTCTATCTAAATAACTTCTATGCCCCATTGGGGCAGCACACAGTTGCCATAGTGCTGCAAATGTGATCAGCTATGACACCAGCCATTTGAATGATTCAAAATTGGTTGAGAACTGAAATAGGTACACTGACAAACTCGACAGTTGGCATGCCTGGGTAAACTTCCTCTTTAAAAAGTGTTTGCTAGATTCAGCTTTAATTTGTAGGCCAAGTCCATCTAAATTTCCTAGTGCATCTAACATTACCTTCTCCACAGTGTGACAATGCTGCTGTCCAAGGGTGACCCAATTGCTCCTCCATAGAGTGGAGCTTCCCTAAGAGAGGACAATTGGAATCTATCAAAATAGTGAGACAGAATCTGGAGAAGTTGTTCATAGTAACCATCAGCTTCTTTTGTCAGATTTGCTTTGAAAATGATAGAAGCTGATTGGATGCTATGGGCAACCACTCTTAATTCTGTCTGCTCCAGTATTGATAAATTCCCCTCATGGGGGGAATTTATCAAAACTGGAGCAGACAGAATCTGGAGCAATTGCCCACACCCTGTTTCCCCGAAAATAAGACCTACCCCAAAAATAAGACATAGTACTATTTTTGGGAATTGCTAAAATATAAGACATACCCCAAAAATAAGACCTAGTTGTGACCATTCCCAGGGCCGGTGGTGGCAAGAGGGGGAACTTGAAGAGCAACGTTAGAGGCAGGAGAGAATCAGCGGTTAAAACTAATCCAGCGTTAGAGGAAGCGAGGTGGCAGCGGAGGGAGCAGAGCCGCATAAGCCGACGCCTCCTCTTTAACGCCGACTCCTGTCACAGGCGGAGAGATACCAAATGCACTCCGCCTGTGAGGAATCAATAGTGGAAGTGCGCTTCGCTCATTCTGGCCAGCGATTGATTAGCAAATTGCTCTTGGAAAGGTACGGTACCCCTGATTGCACTGATCACCATATTTTTGTACATGAATACATGTAGACTGTTTAAAAAAAAAAATAAAAAAATAAGACCTACCCCGAAAATAAGACCTAGTGTGTTTTTTTGAGCCAAAAAAAATATAAGACAGTGTCTTTTTTTCAGGGAAACACAGTAGCAACAATAAGCTTCTCTTTTATTTTTATTCAGTTAAGCTTTGAATATGAAGCATAGATACTGATTGGTTGCCATGGGCAACTGCTCCAGATTCCGGCATTCCTATTGCGATGCATCGCAGCACTGCTGTGATAATACTGTGTAACTAAATTTGTAGCAGAATCCATGTAAACGGCAAAAGTAAGGGAAATGACCACACAATAACTTCATCTATTCACAGCATTGCAGGGCTAAACACGCGCTGACGTCACTAAGCACACCCCCGAACGTGCTGGTTCTTTATAAATGAAAGATAAAGCTAGGGGCGTTTCCGAGCGGGCGGAAGTGACGTGCGGAGCGGGAGAGAGTGTTGGTGCGTTGGGAGGAGTGCGAGCAATAAAGGAGGGGTGCGTGACGTCACGGCCGCCATTACACAGAACAAGCAAGGCGGAAAGCTGATTTGCCGGCTATTCGGGGAGAAGGAAAATCCCGACGATTGGGACGGATAACCTTTAATTAGCAAATTGCTCTTGGAAAGGTACGGTACCCCTGATTGCACTGATCACCATATTTTTGTACATGAATACATGTAGACTGTTTAAAAAAAAAAATAAAAAAATAAGACCTACCCCGAAAATAAGACCTAGTGTGTTTTTTTGAGCCAAAAAAAATATAAGACAGTGTCTTTTTTTCAGGGAAACACAGTAGCAACAATAAGCTTCTCTTTTATTTTTATTCAGTTAAGCTTTGAATATGAAGCATAGATACTGATTGGTTGCCATGGGCAACTGCTCCAGATTCCGGCATTCCTATTGCGATGCATCGCAGCACTGCTGTGATAATACTGTGTAACTAAATTTGTAGCAGAATCCATGTAAACGGCAAAAGTAAGGGAAATGACCACACAATAACTTCATCTATTCACAGCATTGCAGGGCTAAACACGCGCTGACGTCACTAAGCACACCCCCGAACGTGCTGGTTCTTTATAAATGAAAGATAAAGCTAGGGGCGTTTCCGAGCGGGCGGAAGTGACGTGCGGAGCGGGAGAGAGTGTTGGTGCGTTGGGAGGAGTGCGAGCAATAAAGGAGGGGTGCGTGACGTCACGGCCGCCATTACACAGAACAAGCAAGGCGGAAAGCTGATTTGCCGGCTATTCGGGGAGAAGGAAAATCCCGACGATTGGGACGGATAACCTTTGATTTTATTCTCGCTCGTGTACCGGATTCTACTCGTTATCAGACGTGTTTTTCTATGTTCGGCTTGAGCGGCGCATTATTGGTTTCCGGCGGCTCTGTTTGCCGGTTCGATTAGGCTGCCTCTCCCCTCACAGCAGCGAGTGTGGGCTCCATAGTTTATCCACTACACTCTCTCTCCCGGTTAGCCTTGTAGGCCCCGGTGCTAGCCGTCTGTCTCTGGAAAGTCTCAGCATGGACGAAAAGGCCTTCACCAAGGAGCTGGATCAGTGGATCGAGCAGCTCAATGAGTGCAAACAGCTGACCGAGAGTCAGGTCAAGACGCTGTGCGAAAAGGTTGGTATGTCACGGGGGCGGGGATGTAATGGAGAATATTCCTTGAAGTGTCCGAATCCTCTGTACCTATGGTGTATAGTGCTTCCTATAGCCCAATAGTGCATTATGGATCTTCCAGTTATTACAGTTTAGCGTTTAATTCCAGCACCTTGCGCTATGGAAATAGTTGGTGCTATATAAATCCTGTATAATAAAACCAGGAACTAGCTGCCTTCATCTCTTAGAGTCCATAGTGTTGTTTTCCAACGCTTCATCTATCTACACCTTGACGTTTAAATGAGGCTTTTATATCCCTGTAATTAGGGATGTCCCGATGCCCCTTTTTCAGGACCATGTACTTGCTAATACCAATTATCGATACTTTTTTTTTTTTAAAGGGACAGGTGACTTTAAATGATCCCTAGTACAACTACATGTTATGTACTATGGATCATGATTTAACCTATTCATGTTAGCAGGGGATAATTGTAAATCTATTGCTGTAGTGTAGCGGATTTGTGTGTTGTATATATGTACTACATATACAGTACACATCCCCAGTACACTATAGCAATAGATTTAGAGCCAGCCCCGTACCAGCTTCCCTCACTCAGTTTCACTCCGATCCCTGTTGCCTCACGGGGTGCCTCTCGTAGTCGGCGCTGGGCAGGATCGCTGCATCGAGTCTCAGTGCCCAGCTTGTGGGAGGCGCTCACAATTCTGTCCTGCTAACATGAATAGGTTAAATCATGATCCATAGTACATATACAGTACACATGTCCCGTACACTGCAGTAATGGAGTTACAATTATCCCCTGCTAACATGAATAGGTTAAATGGTCCGTAGTGCATAATAGTATATAACATGTAGTTGTACTACGGATCCTTTAACCCATTCATGTTAGCAGGGGATCATTGTAAATCTATTACTGCAGTGTACGGGACATGTGTACAGATAGAATGCACTGCAACAATAGATAAACAATTCTGCACTGCTAACATGAATGGGTTAAAGGATCCGTAGTACAACTACATGTTATGTACTATTATGTACTACGGATCATTTAACCCATTCATGTTAGCAGGGGATCATTGTAAATCTATTACTGCAGTGTACGGGACATGTGTACAGATAGAATGCACTGCAACAATAGATAAACAATTCTGCACTGCTAACATGAATGGGTTAAATGATCCATAGTACAGGGCTACATACAGATCATTTAATCCATTCATGTTAGAGTATAATTGTAAATCTATAGTCTCCAGTGTATAAGCAGTGTGTGCTCTATATATGTTTTACATATAGGGCACACACTGCTAATACAATGGATGTGCAATTAGCCCCTGCTTAATAGTGCCCCCCTTACTCACTGTGGTGCTGTGTGGGAGAGCAGCGTCGAGTCAGCGCTGGTCCGGTGGGAGGAGCTCCAGGTGAGGTGGGGTCCTAATTTAGCTGGCCCAGAACGTGCCTGCCAACTAAATTAGGACCCCACCTGGAACTCCTCCCGCCGGACCAGCGCTGCTCTCTGGCACTGAAGGACATCGTCGGCGAAGAGGAGCAGGGCAGTCGCGACGCGCCTCCGCTCAGCCTGCCCAGAGGACCCCACCACAGAGGGTAAGAAAGAAAAAAAAAAAACGGCGCTATGCATCGGGGCATTTTGACAAATACTTGTCAAAATGCCCTGTATCGGGCCCGATTCCGATGCTAGCATCGGTATCGGGACATCCCTACCTGTAATGCTGTACTTCGAAAGGTAGACAGGGCTGCGGTTATGGTTGCCATGAACATTATTGATTTAAAAAAAAAAAATGTTCTGTTAATTGCAAGAATGATGGATTTGAAGCAGCCTGTTAGCAGAAGTTTTATTCTAAACCATGCAGAGTCAGTGTTTATCTGAATTTCTTTATGGATTGTGTTTTAGTTAAGCTGACCACACACGTGGGTTTGAGGGAAATCTAAGGGTGACCACACGTTACTATCTGTACAATTTTAAATCGTACTTTAATGTGCTAAAACTATGTATGGGGGCAGCCATAAACAAACATTCAATGTGCAGGGCCTTACTTTTTTGGTGATGGTGGTAGAGCTAAAGGAGGTTGTATAGTGTATGGCAATCTTAATAGATTTGCCTATTCACACATGGGTTAAGGAATCTCTCCTGGTGGCTTTTGTATTCAGTCAGCCAGCACCCATGGCTTTCAGACTTTTTCGAACCATGACTGTCTCTGATTGGATGCAGACAGGTTTCAACCTTGCTCAACTTTTAATCCAATTTTGTCAATCCAGGTGGTGCTGACAGATTAAATGGCTTGGATTTCCGCAGGAGATCGGCTAACCTTTTGAGCTTTATATGGCCAGCATTAAGCAGACTTGTGAGCTGTTTCTTCTGGCAGCCTTAATGATTAAAAGATGCTTCTACAAATCCAGTGGATTTCTCTCTTCACTTCGAAGTGCACCTTCAAATTAAGACCCCCCCTCCCTCACATCAGTAGCCCTACTTTTATATCAATTCCCCGTTTTGCATATTGAGCCCCCCCCCTTTTACATCAGTCCCACTACCACAAAGTGTCGAATCACTGCTGAGGAAGCCAGTAGATGCCCCAGCACCCTGGCTGAAAAAACACTTCTGTACTTTATAGCAGCCTAAGGTGTACGTTTAAACTGTGAAAGAGTGTGATAAGCAGTGAGAAGGCTTTTCTCACCTTAGCAAAGTGAAAAGTCTAGAAAATGGTGTTTAATAACCCGTGATAAGTCAGGTAGGAACAGAAATATCTCACCTCTTCTCATCCTGGTGATAAGTACACAAAGTAATGGGAATGTACCTGTTTAATAAAGGGAGAAAAGTAGAGAACAGCTTTATCACTGGATAAGTATTGTGAAAAGTACCCTTGATTTAGCACCCTGTCAGACCTGGTGATAAAGGCCTTTTTCTCGAGAAGCACTGAGCAAAGATACAGGAACCTCCTCCTCTGTCACTCAGTTCTTCTGTTTCCAGTCCTGAGGAGAAGTTCGAGTGGTATGTTCTATTCAGAGCCTAGTGCTATTCTATCCAGCTGTTACTGGTATCTAACTTTTTAAAGAAATAAATACATATGCTATGAGAGAGATTACTTTATGTAATTACATAAATAATATTTAATGAAATATTAATTATTTCAATATTGAAATAATACATTTTAAAAAATAGAACTATATTTCATAAATAACCACCTGCTGTCAGGCTGTTGTAATTAAGGCCCCATTCACACTAAGCGATATCGTGCAAATGCTTGCATTGAGCTAGCTGGAATCGCGGCAAAATCCGCTCCAAAAAGGGTCCTGCTGTAGCGACGCACGACCCGCGACAGCAGGACCCTTTGCCCCGTTGCCATGCATTGGAGAATGATATCGCGGGAATTACCGCGCGATAAATCGCTCAATGTGACGGGCCTAAACGGACGGAATGCGGGTGGGCGTTTTTTTAAATGTCCTAACCCACCCCGCTCGTGCCTGCCGCTAGGCCACGCGCACGAACGGGAAATTGGCCTTGAATGTAAACAGCCAGCGATGGCTGCTTACATACAAGCGTTCAGACGTCTGTAGAGACGCCCGATCACTCGTAATATGTGTGCGTTTGTGCGGCCCCCCCCCCTCCGTTACCGCTGGCGATCCCGAGCTCCGCTGTGCGCGGACAAACTACAGTGTAGACAAGCTGCGGTGCCAAGTGGAAGGTTGGGGTTTTTTTCCCTTTGCTTCGCATCGCTTCGCCTTCAGTGTGTCACAGCCTTGAGAGGGAAAAGGAGGGAAGTCTGTCTTAATGCCACCCTTCCCTCAGAGTGACTGTGGCAGTTTCAAGTCCCCTCACTGTATCTGTGTAGTGAGGTAAAGTTCAGTAAGGTCATGTGACCTTAGGGCTTGTTGTTGAAGTCTCAGTCTCCCTCAGAAACAGGCCCACCAAATTAAGCTTTTAGGGTGTCTGGGGAGTATGTTTTAGAGGCAGGTGTGGTGAACATTGCACTCCACACAACAGTCTGTAACACCATTTCGCCACCATGGTCCGCCGTTTATAATGCATTAATACCTGCTGCTAGTGTGTTTGCACACACACAGTGCTGATGCACCTATCTCGGGACAGCAGGCTTTTTTCAGGGACGCCAAACATTCTAATTTCCAGCATGTGTCAGAGTGCCCACTTACATTGCTAGGCTCCATCAGAGTGCCCCTTTAGAATGTTTAACGCTATCACTGCCTCGCATTGTGCCCTCCTCTGGTAGTTTGATTCCAGTTTTTGTACTGGTACATGCTGAACAAGTCGGAACATGTAAATCCTGCCTTTTAGCAATTTTCATCATTTTAACAGATAAATAACTTGCACTTTGCTATAGAGGTGCTTTGTAATATTGTTATTGGGTGGTTTGGCAGAGTAAACTACGATCCTGTCAGGGGGAGTGTAGATTATCATAAAGGATGTCATTGTGCAGCTCAGAATACATTCCCCACATTGCTTTCTCTACTGATCACCATGATGACTTATCTCAGCCTTTCACAGCTGTTACGTGAGAAGTTTTCTTTTCGCAGGTTATTAAACAGCCTCTGTGCAGACGAGAAAAACAAAGATCTGCTGAGTAAAGTTAACTCGTGATAAAGCTAGTTTTATCAGTTTATTAAACGTACACCTAAAACTTCTGTCAGATCTCGGGTGTAGAATTCCTATCGCCCGACACCCAGGACATGCAGTTTCAGGCACCTGGTGAATAGTTTTTTTTGTACATTTAGCCCTGCTATGGACAAGCAGGCTAAATGCACAGTGTGCAGGGGTGTGGAATTCATATCGCCCAACGCTGGGACATGTAGTTCCGGGCAAGTGTTTTTTTTTTTTTACTGTTTTTAGCCCTGCTACGGACAAGTAGCAGGGCTTGTTTTCTTTAGTTAAATGAGCGGCGTTGCGAGCAGTGGAGCTGTGACGGGCTCTGTCACCTCACTCAGCCTCTGTCCCCGGCGGCCGCTGCTCATTCCTGTCACAGGAGTTCTAGCACAG